CCCAGAAGGTGCCACCCAGGGGGTGTGGCGGGCCCTCGCCGCCTCTGCCCCGGGGCCACATGCCCTGCTCCTGGTGACACAGCTGGGCCGCTTCACGGAGGAGGACCAGTGGGCGGCGCGGCGCCTGCAGGAGGTCTTCGGACCAGGGGTGCTGGCCTACACCGTCCTGGTGTTCACCCGGAAAGAGGACCTGGCCGGGGACTCCTTGGAGGAGTATCTGCGCGAGACCGACAACCAGCAGCTGGCCAGGCTAGACGCCATGTGCACGCGGCGCCACTGCGGCTTCAACAACAGGGCGCAGGGGCCAGAGCGCGAGGCGCAGCTGCAGGAGCTGATGGGCCAGATCGAAGTGATCCTGTGGGAAAACGAAGACCGTTGCTACAGCAACCGGGCCTACCAGTATCTGCTCAGCCAGGGACAGGAAGGGCCAACAACCCAGGGGCCAGGCTCCCAGGAAGGGCCTCGAGGGGAGCCCTGGCTGGAAGGGCTGTCCCGAGTACAGAAAGAATCCGAGGAGACACACAAGAGCCTCCTGCAGAAGGCGCCCCTCTAAGCCCAGGGTGGAGCAAGCGGGGCCTCTCTCAGCCCTGCGCCCGGTGCCCCTGACCCGGCGCTTGTGTCTCCCTCCCCAGGGAGCACTGCCCAGGCTCCAGGTCAGGTCATCTGGCCAGGCGACCTCCCCAGTCCTTCTATTCTTCCGGGACACGTGGACCCAGCTGGTCTGACTTCAGCAGCTGCGGTCTTGGTGTAGAACCTTCCAACTCTTGACACCACATTTCTGGGTACCACGAGGTTTCTGGGGTCCCTGGCAGGACAGAGCTGCACCTCTCGTCCATGTAGGCTCGAGCTTCCTGGCCCCTGGGCTCTCGGTGCGAGCCTCTGCTGACTACTGTCTCTGCCCCTGTGCTCGGAAGACACCTGCTGGGTGTGGTGCTAGAACAAAGGTGGCTCTGAGACCGTGGGGAGGGTTGGATGCTGGGCTGGGAGGAGAGCCTAGCAGCAGCAGAGAGAGGTGGAAGGAACAGACTTTTCTTCATTCTTGAGTTTACTTAAGCAAGTTCCCCAGGAACCTCTTAGTGGGAAGGATGGGTGACATCGAGGGAGGGATCCAGGAAGCAGCCCTGGTCAGGAAGGTGGACCCAGCCCTGGCTCAGGACATGAGGCCTCTCCAGGTGCCAGGTGGGCTTGGACAGAGGAGGCCACTCCCCAACCCCCAGGGAGACATAGATTAGGGAGGGCGTGCATCTGTGACTTCCCCACCCTCCAGTGCCATGGCCTCACTGTCTGCCTTCTGCTGTGTGAGACCCAAGGCTCTTGCCGACCTGCCCTGCCCTTGCCGCCCACTCTCTCTTTCTGTTGACAGTGGGGAGCATGTGGGTGGGGTGAATATTTACATGGATTCCCCAACAAAGTACTTGTGGAAGGTTGGATTGAAGGAGGCAGGGAAGAAAGGGGATTGCAAAGGAATCAGATGAATGCCTTGAACATCTTGTGGGGCAGCCTGCCTGGTTTAGGGACGAGATCTGTAGCACAAGGTGTTTTCCAGGAGGCTGCTCCGACCAAAGGGTTAATAGGAAGCCATACCAGATAGGACAGGCAGGGAGTTCTGGCCTCAGGTAGAAGCCATCTAACCGCATACACAGACCGATGAGCCTCAGATGCGTCTCCGCTGCTCTGAGGTTCAGGATGCTCCTGGGGAATTTAACCAACTGCGGGGATAGTAATGGGGGGAACTGGGGAAAATGCCTCCCAACACATTCCTCTTCTTGCTTTGAGCTGTGTGGCAGTAGCCTTCTGGGAGGGTAAGACTGGGAGGTGGTGCAGCAGTGGAGGAGGGTCAGAAATCAGAGGACACACCTCAGGTCTGTCCAGTTGCTCATCACGTGGCCAGAGATCTCCTGCAGACAGACAGATGCCCAGACCTGTGGTCTCTCCTTGTCATCACCTTCCCAAGACTCAGCAGGTTGCTACAAAAGCTTCAGATTTTAGGAACCAGCAGTTAGCGTAATGGCTATGTCGCTGGACTCCCACGTAGTCAACCGCAGTTCGCGTCCCAGACCCGGTGGCTTAAAACTCACGCCGGGCGCATATGCGTGTGTGCCCAAGATCCTGAGAGGAGGATGATTTCTCGCTTTCTGTCTCTATGTCTCTCTCTGTCTGTCTGGCGAGTGCACGCGCTCTATAGCGAAAAAACCTCTCCAAAAAACAAACAAAAAAAAGCTTCAGATTTTCTTTCCTGAGTGATTCAGATATGTCTTGAAGCAGAACAGACACTTTCTTGGAAGTATGCTTACACCTTTTTGCCAGGATTTATTAAATAAGGAATCCATTTCACGATGAACTGAAATGCAACATGTATCATTTTACAAATTCTCATACTCCCTAAGATATGTGTCAGAATTTTCATTTCTGTTGATGTCATCTATTTATCTACTCCTATATGAATAAAATATTGATTTGATGAGTGTGGCTTTGATTAGAACGTGGTGGGTTAATTTCCTCTCCGGTTCACATTTTTATATTTTGTTATTCTCAGGCATTTATTCCTCCAGGTGACAGTTGAATTATTTGTTTAGCTCCCAATAAAAGAACCCTATTGGTATTTTAGTTGGAATTGTCTCTCATTTATAGATTGTTAGAAATACTTTGGTAACTACTTCAAGTACAAGTTATACAAGACTATCTTGTTTCTAAGTGAACAAACTCAAAACTCCAGAGCTCTTGAAATAAATAATTTGTGTTTCCATTAGGATAGATAATTTTTAAATTTAAATATTATTATTATATTTTTGTTAGCTTATTTATATTTATTTATTTATTTATTTATTTATTTATTTATTTTGTGGGGAGAGGTTTTTGCTATAGGGCACATGTGCTCGCCAGAAAGACAGAGACAGGAAGACAGAAAGTGAGAAATCACCCCCAAGGTGGGATGGCCACACCACAATCCCTTCTCCTCCATTCTCTTCTCAGGATCTTGGGCACGCATGCACACACAACTGGCATGAGTTTAAGCTACTGGGTCTGGGACTCAAACCGCGGTCGACTACATGAAAGTCCAGTGACATAGCCATTACACCAACTGCTGATTCCTGCTCCGTTAGTTTATTAACCACATAATAGAAAATACAAGCATTTGACCAAATGGGATCCATTTTGTTTGAACAGCAAGTCACCCAAAACATGTCACTTACTAAAAATACTAAAAGTATGCTTAATGACATCCAGTAAAAAGTGTTTTCTTCTTTTACTATAAAAGCAGGGGAGACACCTCTCTTATTTCAGAAAGAGAGATAAATGTTGCCTCACTGCCAAAGTTTCTTCAACCTTAGAGAAGGAGGGGTGGGGAGCATGTGTGAGATTAGTCTAGAAATTCCAGCCTAGTACCAGAAGAAAGAAAATGGTGCAGTTGGGAGTGGAGTGATGAGAGAGGGTTGTCTTGGCCAGAGCAGCGATCATAGCAACCTTTAAAATTTGTTACTTTTAAAAATATTTCAATACTGGAGTGAGGATGGTGAGAAATGTACACACTTCGGAATATTCACTTTGTAAGCTAAGTCATGTGATTGAATTTATAAAAGAAATAGAAATAAATAATTAAAAAAGAAAAGCAAGGATTTAGGGAAATTGAGGAGTCAATCAGAACAGGGTAATTTTTTATTTTAAAAAAGAGTATGAATAGACCTTTTTACCTGGGAGGAAGGGGTCAAATGGCTTTTTCTTCTGAAATTTTCTTTTTCTGAGAGATTTTTGTCATAGGGTATGTGTGCTCTCTGGAGAGACAGAAAGAAAGAAGGTGAGAAATCACCCCCCACCCCCAGGATGACCACACCACAATTCCTTCTCCTCCATTCTCCTCTCAGGATTTTGGGCACACACGCATGCACACACACACACACACACGCACACACACAGAGTGTGAATTTGAAGCCACTGGATCCAGGACTCAAATCACGGTCGATTATGTGGGAGTTCTGTGATACAACCATTACATCATCTTCTGGTCCCAGATATATATATATTTATTTATTTATTTTTAATCACTTTTCCAGTTAACATAACAAGGTCCAGGTGTCCTTCCTTGGCAATGCTGTTTTACAGAGGGAGAAGAGCAGAGAGGAAGACAGAAGAATAAAGCAATAATATGTGTCCCAAATTTTGTGTCTCCAGGGTTGGTTCAGAACACAAGAAGTTTATTAGATGCTGAGTTCTACTTATACTTTGAATCTTGGTCTAGGCTGCACCCTCAGGTGAAAAGCCTTTCAGATATGTGCTGGGACCATGTAGTTAACACAAGCTGAGTATGAAAGTACTGCCCCTCATGCCTAAGAGCAAGGACTCGGCTGAGGAGAACTGTTTGCAAGGTCAACAGTTTTTCGAGTTCTGATCCTCCACTGTGTTGTTGTACTACCCTGCACTCAATTTTTCTGCCATGGGCCTTATTGCTGTACCCCGGTACCCCATAAAGACACCCCCTGCCTCACTATAACTTTTACAATAATCTTGAAGGAATGCAGATCCACTAAGGCGGCGGCTGCATGAGGCAGCAGCTATGAACGAGAATTACTCCCATTAGACTCATCCCACCCTCCTGGAAAATGTCAATAAAGAATGCTACATTCACTTCTCCTACTGGGGATTATATAGATAAGCATTAGAAAGGTCTAGGTTAAAGCTACTAATGGACGAAGGTTCTCAGTAGCCAGGAGGGGCTCAGGGACTCATCCACGAGATATCGTTACCTCAAAAGCCATAAGCCACCCTTACTCTCAAGACAAGGGCCCCAAGTACACAGTAACTTTTAGGTCAGTCATTAAGCTGCTCACAAGACCACATTCCTTTCCCATGTAGACATTAGATTCACCTTCTTAGCTGTGGATTACCCCAGAGATAACATAGGTATTCCACTTTAGTATATACTAACCTTGTCTTTACTAAACCAGACAGGATTTATTTCTTGGCCCTCATAATTGCTGCCACCCTAGCCTGAGGTTGAAGTTCTCAAAAGCTGACCTGGGGCTCAAGTTCTCAAGCCAATCTGGGACTAAAGTGATCAAGCTGGTCTGAGACAGGTTATTAAGATTCCTGGGAGCCCTCTCATCCAAAGACCCTGCCTGGTAATCACGATCTAAGAAGAAAATGCACCCCAAAAATGGACTTCCTCGTTCTAAGAATTATGACTGTTTGTACCTAAACAAAACAGACATCATGTTTTATGATTATTGTTCCTATACTTTAAATGCTTTACCTTTTGGAGTAAAATCTTCTACTTACTTCCTCTCACCCATCCTACTCCTATAAAACTCCTTCAATAATAAATATGCATGACTCCTGACCATCAGGGCTGCAGTCCTGAGTTTACTCTGGCTATAGCCGGCTGAGAACATGGTAAGGGGCATTGAGGTCTTGGCCTGACTTTGTTCACCCGTGTCGCCTTCCTATGCACCCACCCCGGCTGGAGCATGGCTTCCGGCAAATAAGAACGTAGCCAAGTGGAGTTCCTTGTTTTAAGCATCAAAACCCCTTCTGTTTCTTTCTAGTTCTGGTTGCTCTCCCCTGCTTTCTAAGATTTTGTTCTTATTTGTTTATGCAGTTTGTCTGCAGGACATTTAGCCTGTTACAAGCCTCTGTGTTGTTTTGGGACAGACTTGAGCTTCAAGATGTTTATATTCTTGACTTTGGTTCATGTGTAGAATGAATAAGACTTTAGTTTAGTTGGGAAGTTGTCAAAAGAAGTCATGCAAGAGTATGAAATTGAGCTAGCTATGAAACGAGGTGTAGAATTCATTCACTCACACAGCTCATAGCCACATAGCATGAACACACTGTGTATTGGTCCAGTCAAAGGTATTACCATACACATCATCCTTAACACAGCATTTTATGCTTTTCTGTTCAAATGTTTCTCTCCTGCTTCCCTCTCTCCCACCCACCATAACCCACCCTTCTCTCTCACTGTCTCTAGTATCCACAGTTGCTCTGCATGCTTTTATACCTTCCAATCTTTCAGTTTCCGTCATAGAATGCAGACATTCGGTATATATGAAATGGGCATATGCAATGCTTCTCTTTCATAGTCTGGCTTGCTAGACTATGAAATGCTAGTAAGCTAGACTATGGCAAGCTTAATGCTTGTTCCTTAGGCATTAAATCTTCCATATTTGTCCACTTTCTATCAAATGCCAGCGTCTCATTTTTTATGGCTGAGTAGTATTCCATTGTGTATATGTGCCATACTTTTTCAATCCATTCATCTGTTCTTGGACATTTGCATTGATTACATGTCTTAGCAATTGTGAATAATGCTGCAATAAATTTGGAAGTCCAAGTGTTTTTATGACTGAGTGTATTCCTGTTCTTTGGGTAGAAACCCAGAAGTGGAATTGCTAGATTGTATGGTAGTTTTATTTCTAGGTTTTTGAGGAACCTCCATATTGTTCTCCACACTGGTTGCACTAATTCACATTTCCACCAACAGTGTAGGAGAGTTCCCTTTTCATCACAGACTTGTCAGCACTTATCATTCTTTGTTTTAATCATAGAAATTCTGACTAGGATTAGGTGGCATCTCATTGTAGTTTTGATTTGCATCTCCCTTATAATAAGGGATGCTGAGCATTTTTTTAATATGCTTTTTGTCTGTTCATATGTTTTCCTCAAAGCATTTTCAGTTCAATCCATTTTCCTTTCTTTTAATTAGATTGATTTTTTTCAGGGAATAAGCTGCTTGAGTTCCCTGTGCATTCGTTTGCAAATATATTCTCCCATTCCAAGGGGTTGTCTCTTCACTGTAATCATTGCTTATTTTGCTAAGCAGAAGTTTTTTTTACCCTGATGTAATCCCATTTATCTATTTTGGGGATTATTGCTTGTGCTTTGTGGGTCTTATATAAAAAGTCTTTGCCAATTCTGATGTCTCAAAGAGTTTCCCCTTTGCCTTCCTCCAGTAGTTTTATAGTTTAAGGTTTTATATTTAAATCTTTGATCTATTTAGAGTTGATTTTTGTTAATGGTAAGAGATAGGGGTCCAGTTTCATTTTTCTGCAGGTGGATAACCAGATTTTCCAGTACTGTTGGAGATAATATGTATAATATTGTCAACTGGTCTGGTGAGAAATGTATACACATTGGAATATTCACTTTGCAAGCTAAGTAACCTGTCATTGAATGTATAAAAGAAATTCAAATTAAAAATAAAGAAAAAAGAAGGTCAGTTGGCTGTATGTTTGGAGGTTATTTCTGGGATCTCTATTCTGTTCCATTTGTCTACATGCCTGTTTTTGTGTCAGCACCATGCTGTTTAGATTGTCACTCCTTTTGTAAAATATTTTGACATCAAGAGTGAGATGCCGCTTACTTTATTCTTTTTGTGCAGTATTGCTTCATAAAATTGGAGCCTCCTATCATTCCAGATAATTTATGATTTTTTCTGCTTCTGTGAGGAATATCTCAGGTAATTTGACCAGGATTGTATTAAATTAATAAATTAGTTTGGGTAGAATTGACATTTTGATTATATTAATTCTTCCAATCCAGGAATATGGGATTTCACTTTTTTGTATCATTTTCAATTTCTTTTTAAAGCTTTTCATAGTTTTACTTGTAGC